GCTACGAAGCCACTGAAGTCACTGCCAGACGGGTGCAGCCACCCCGGTGCCCACGGACACGCAGCCCTGCAGGCCCAGGCTGCTGCAGGGGCTGGGGGGCTCCAGGGATGGGGAAGGACCTAGAAAGGAAGAAAACTGGAAAGAAGGAGTCCACGCGTGGTATCTCCCTGGTGTGTCTGGTGGCCGGATGGGAAGGACTCAGGTCCCGCGCAGGGGCAGCCATGCGGCTCCGTGGTGCCACTGAAGATGGTTACACCCATGGCTGCGAAGAAGCAGGCAGTCGGGCAGGGCCTGGACAGTGCGGTCAGATGTGGTCGGTCGTGCCCCGGCCCAGCTGGTCGCGGTGCTGTCGCGTTGGGGGTCCGGCTGTGAGACCATGTCGGAGGTGGGGAGCTCCAGTCCACCTCTCCCAGGCTTGCTCCGGCGCATGACCAGAGGCTGCCAGGGGAGGAAGAGGGAAGCCGGGGCTGAGCTGGTGGCGGTGCCTATGGCAGTGTTAGCCCACGGCCTTGCTGGGGCCACATGTGCCACGTGCCGGGGCAGCTGGTCCGGGATGGCAGGACAGGCAGGCTCAGATCCCATCGGGTGCTGCTCAGCGCTGGGTGACCGGTGAAGCTGAGCCAGATGTGGGCAGAAGCCGAGTGCTGCCCGGCAGCCGGTGGTGCTGGCCCGTGTCCTGGTGTGTTCCAGAGAGAGCGGCTGGACGGGGTCCGGCCAGGTCTGAGGAGTCGTGTCCCGGGGTCCTGAGCCACACACGTCTATGCCCTGCCGTGGCCATGGATATGCTGGCGTGCACATCTTGCTGGGGTGCTCCCTGCACCTGGGCCTGCAGCAGGGGCTGTGCCCTGCTCCCATGGGGGCTGTTCCCTGTGTTGGGGTGTCGCCATTTGCAAACGAGGCTCTCGAGGCCCCCCCTATGTGGCGACGGGGGCACGGGGTGGGAAACATGGGCATCTCAAGAGTGCGTCTCTCCACCTGCGCATGTCGGGTGCTGCAGCAGCTTGGCCAACAGTGGGGTGATGAGGCACCAGAGAGGACCTGTCGTAGGGCGGGAGCTTTGCTGCCCTCTGCAGGCCGGGGGCAGTCAGTGCCGCAATGCGCACCCCTGCGGAGTGCCACATGCCCGGCTAGTCCGGCTCCACGCCACGGAGGCCCACGTGGCCGGCCCACGGCATGCAGGGAGGGCAGTGGCTGGAGGGGCTTCCCAGTGCTGGGGGCATCTGGCTGCAGCCCCGTGGTGCGTGCCTGGCCGCGGGCTCTGTGCTGCCCCGGCCGCCTGGGACGCTTCGTTAAGCGCAAGGTGCTGGGCTGTGGGGAAGCAAGTCGAGCCCCGCTCGTTTGTGGCCTTGCTCTGTGGGGGCTGCGCACCGAGGCCCTGAGTGTAATTACCGGCTAATCAGCAGCGCTCTGTAATTACTGGGATTTCCCAGTGCAGCGCCTGCTGGGTGCAGCCACGGCTGGCCCCCAGCCCCCCAGCTACCCCCCCGCCGCAGACCAGCCTGTGGCAGCCCC